CCCCCCCTCTCCCTCCATTTATTATTCATTCTCCCTCTCTTTCTCTACACTTTGTTCACAGGGATCTTGGAGACAGACATCACATTTTTGGTCATATTCTCCATGGTGTTTCTTCTCTCCTGCTACTTTGCCTGTAAGTATTTTCATGGTCTACTTAATGGGACTCTTACCTTCCTCACAGCAGTCAGTGGCTGCCCGTCTATTTTCAGAGCTGCTGTAAGTCGGTCCACTTTAACTGATGGATCTGGAGTAAGTTCTCATGTTTCTTCAGATAAGTGAAGACCGACCGTATTATTCTGAGATCAGAATTTGTGTCAGAATAAAAAAAAGGGGTGGAAAAACGACCGAAGGCTTTCTCGGGCGTGAAATGGTAAAAGGGTGAGGTTGAACGCTTTAAAATGAGTCAAAAAAGTCACAGCATAAATATTCAGAATGCACTTTGAAGTTAATTTTCAAGTGTTCACAGTCCTTTGTGTAACGTTTAGATGAGGTAATGCACAGCTCTAGGAAACTAATATGTTATACAGTGTAGGTAGATTTAGGATGATCACAGTCTTAAAGGTTCCTTTTTTACTTTACATGGTTAAACATTATGTAAAGGTCAGTAGTAGATAAAAAATATATTTAAGAAAACTCTGCTCTATGTACATTTTGCAAGCAATAGGGCTGGTTCCTATTGGGCAATTTTTTTGGTGTTCCCATTTCACCATTAAGTCCTAATGACGTCCTTAATAAGGTAGGTCATGTAGGTCATGAGACTTACAGTACTTAGATGGTAAAAAAAAAAAAACCAAGACGAGATATATGTTGAGCCATATCAGGCGTGTCCAAAGTCTGGCCTGTGGGCCAATTGCGTCCAAAGGATACACATTTGATGGCCCGTAGCCTCTATTGTGGCTGGACTTACATTGGGTCCAGAGTATAAATACACACAAAATTCAGCTTCTTGAATTAGAGAGTTAACTTTCAGATATCAAATGCAGAATGATTGGTTTAGATTTGTCTAAAACTATGTGATGAAAAAAAATGCCATCTGCAATAAATATCCTATGAAATATTTCAATTATATTTAACTTTATGGCAACTATGTGGTCAGTTAATAATATCCAATAATTTTAATGTTAATTTCTGTATCAGTAAATAACGTTGTTTCTGAAATTATTGCATGTATCAGTCTAGCTCAGGCATGGGCAAACTAAGGTCCGGGGGCCGGATGCGGCCCGTTCGGCTTTTTAATCTGGCCCGCCAAACTTTTCCAAATGTATTAATTTATTTATATTATCATTATACTTCTGCCTTTTCCCTGCAATACCCACGTTTCCCCAATAGATGGCGTAGAAAATGATAATAGCATTTTTAGCAATTTAGCCTTTATCCATGACTTTTACATGTCAGACAGTTGTGGCCTGCGAGTCAAAAGTTTGCCCACGCCTGGTCTAGATGGATGGATGGGTGGATGGATGAGTGGATGGATGGATGGCAGGCACACACTCCCTATCTATTTATCCGTACACTGCCTGTCCATTAATCTTGTTTTGAATCATAGAGGGGATTGGAGCTTCCTCTCTCTCTCTCTCTCTCTCTCTCTCTTGTAAAATATTATCTTAATACTTGTGTCATGGATTGTTTATAAAATGAAAGTTCTGCCATGGTTTATTTGACTGCTTGTCCTGTAGAGCCTCCAGTTCTGCAATAACGCTGGTGATAGTTGGTCTTTTCACAAGCGAAGCCTGTCTCCACACGTCAGATTGATGAAAAACAAAAACACTGAATTTAACAGTAGGACCCAGTCGTTCACACTCTCTAACTCGGACTTTCTTCAGTGTTTCCCCATTTAAATGACGCACTGTGAATGCTAATGAAGACAACGCTTTGGAAAGAAAACTTTCCATTATATTAACACGACTTCATTTTAATGCTTTAAAGTGTTTCTCAAATAGTGGGGCGGGGCCCCCCTGGAGGGCGTGAGGGTCTTCCAATGGAATATGGCACGCTGGATATAAGTGTACCTCTACTGTAATTCTTGAATGATAACAAGACTCCAGTCACTAGGGGGCAGCAACGCATTCAGTGGTTTGTACAGATAAAAAATATACCTGTTATCTCTCAATAGTATTTCAATTTTGCGGGGGTGTGAAAACATTTCTGTCCACAAGGGGGGGACGTGACAGAAAATAATTTTCAGTTTGAAATAAAAAGTTAGAGAAAAACTATCTGCTGAGTGACCTGGGATTAGGAGTTAGGTGCAGATTTCAAACTTCATGTTCTTCTTGCGGTTCCACCATTTTTCTTTCCTAATTATCCGCGCTCACTTTCTTTCCCGCTTTTTTTCGCCATCTGTTACCATATCTCCATCCTTCTCTCATCTTTTCACACACACACACACACACTAATCGCTCCAATGTCTTTCTCTTGTCTCTCCTCTGTCCTGCAGACAACCTGAAGGGAAGACAGCTTCTCCACACTACCTACAAAATGTTTATGATTGCAGCAGGGGTGGAGGGTGAGTGCTCCTGCCCTGAGGGACAGGAAACAACAACAACACACACAAACACACACACCATGACGATAACAGCCAAGCGTCTAATACCGTAATCTCGTCTTGAGATACGATCAGCTTTCGGCCTTTGAATAGAAACCTCTTCACACAGCTGTGCATTGTTCAGTGAAGTGTGCTGTCACTGATAAACTGCACTTTCTTTTCTTTCTTTTTTTTTTTTTTTTCCCCTCTCTCATCTCATCACCCTCCTTTGCTCTCCCTTTCTTCCCTCATGCTTGTATGCCTCCCCCTCAAATCTGTTTCTAAATTTACTCGCCTTCTGTGAATCTCCTCTACTTTCTTCGCCCTCCACTCCCCCCCCCCCTCAGTTTCCCTCCTATCTCCTCTTCCTTTCGTCTTTTTCTTTTCCTTTTGATCAGTTCCCCGTCTCCACTATCTCACATTTCTTTCTCCACTACAACTTTTCGACCCTTTCTGTGGCCTTTCAGTCTTACTGTTTTCTTCACGTCTGTGTAGTCATTCTCAGTCATCCAGGCCATCTTAGCTCTTCTCCATCACTTATTTATTAGCTCAGTCTCAACAGTGTTCTCATATCTTGTCTTAATTTCTTCTTTCGATAGTGCTCAGCCTGTTGTTTCACTGTATATACTGGGGCCTGTATGCACAAGATGGAGTCGGCAACGGCAGCCTGAAAATACTCGGTGAGTTGTTTGCATTCTGTGAAGGAGGTTTTTGGAACAAATTGACCCTTTAATAATGCTCCTAATATCAAATCTGAGCTATAGTTCATTTTACCACTGTTTAAGATTTAAAATCAGTAGCCATTGTTCTGTTGGGATTTTAGAGATACAGTGTTCCCTCTCTATATATCGTGGTTCTCCTTTCGCTCCCTCAGTACATCGCAGATTTTTTTTTAAAACATTTCTGACATCGCAGATTTTTTTTTTTTTAAATCTGTTCCACGGAAGTTTTGCGGCATTTTTCTGACATTTTCATTATTTTCAAAATTTTATAACCTAAAAAAAATAAACAGTAAAAATATAGCAAAAAATAAACTTAAAGACATCGCTGATACCTTTGTTTACCTAGAGGAGAGCTAACGCAGCATTGTGTTCCTCTCGCTGATTGGCTCATGCATCGTAGCGTCTCTCTTAGCGTCTCCCCTTATCTGTCCGCCACTACAGGACGTTGCTGTAAAGTTTGTGCTCTTGTGTTTGGGAAAAAAAAAAAGTGAAAGTTGACCCTAATTTAGCGCCCTACGGTACCTCCTAAACGCTCTGATCATCTTCTCAGTCGTCTGTTGCTAAACCCAAACGAAGACGCTGACACAGATGACGGTTAACAGCCTTTATTTTTCTGCCGCGATATGAGAGGACCACTGTACTGCAGTATTCCAATGCTGTTGCACTTTGTTATGAACTCCCATGTTGCTATTGAGCTAGTACTGCAGTATTCCAATGCTGTTGCACTGTGTTATGAACTCCTATGTTGCTCTATTGCCCTCCTTTTCTTGTAGAGTTAGTCTGTATACATGTGATTGATGGGACAAATCCCTCTGTTTACAGATCTACACTCATTTACGTGTTTAAGTAAAGATACCTAATACTCATTTGTTATACATACTACTCCCTTTGACTTAACTGTGATGTGTAGAATTCCTACTGTACACTGCCCGTCCACACAACCCCAGCATGTTGGCGTGTACGCTAGCTCATTTTTAGTGGCGATGTTAGCTGCGAAGGGCAGACAACAAGTTAGGCTACATTAGCCAGTGTTTTCCTATGGTTAGATTTCCTAACAGTGAGTAAAAGACATGCATTCCAGCTCCAAGTATACACTAATTACTCCAGCCTAATGAAGTCTTTGCTGGTTACAGCTGGAAAAAGCGAGGCTTGACTGCAGACCCGTGCTGCCTCTGCAGTGTAAAATCACGTAAACCTTCGGTCAAAATGTGTAGGGTTACGTGTTACTTTAAGTCAGTACTTCCCAAACAGTGGGGCGGGCCCCCCTAGGGGGGCGCGGTGAGGTGCTGGGGGCCGTGAGGGTAGGGTAGGGATGTGTACCACTGCTGTAATGCTTGAATGATAACAAGCCTCCGGTCACTAGGTGGCAGCAACTCATACAGTGAGTTGTACAGATAAGAATATACATGTTTTCAGATTCTCAATAGTATTTCAATTTGTGGAGTTTTTGGTTGGTGGGGGGTGTGTGAAAGCATTTCTGTCCCCAACAGGGGGGGGCGTGACAGAAATTAAATTGAGAACCACAGCTTTAAGTTGATGTTGCGTGTAAATAATCTGGTTGCTAGGTTACCGATACAAACAACAAAAAAAAAAAAACACAATCCAGTTCCTCTCCTAACTCTGTCTTTCTTCTTGCTTTCTCTTGGTCTCTTGTGTGTGTCTCCAGGGAAATTACTGTTCTCTGTCAGTTTCTTAGTGTTCCTCCTCATGCTCATATTGTTGGGCAAAGGTTTCACTGTCACCAGGTAGGAGGTTCGCTCCGTCTTGCTCTCGTCATTCCTGCTCTGTCAGGCCCTGTGTGCTGTGTTTATGTCTGTCATTGTCTGAACGTTATCAACTAACTCCCAGCAATCAGTGCCTGTCAAAAAAGGCAACTTCGGCCACAGAGGATATAGTGGATTCACACTGGTTTTTGCCGTGGGATTATTGGCTCTATGCTATAGATACTATATAATATAGATAAAATATGATTATAATATTTTTTGCCAGTAAAGGTGTTGACTAATATAGATAAAATATGATTATAATATAAAAAAAAAGTTTTTTTTGCCAGTAAAGGTGTTGAGATTAAGTGGTTGCGAAGCCTGTCAGTCATGTGGTTTCCATGACAGTGGTTCGGTCGGAGGAAGGTGGGCGGACGTTGGTGTGTGTGGAGCCAGTGCGAGAGAGCGGCGTTACGCAGCAGTCATAGTTTGTTCCAGACAAATGTCTGACCAAATATAATGATACTTTATCATTTAAAGTAAAACTGGCCAGGTCTTATTCATCTCTCTAACTCTCAGTATATTCAACGACAACATAATATAAAATATATTAACATATTTTCTTCCCAGAAACGCTGTAAAACGCTGCCTGTTGAAGTAGTTCTTGCCACTTTCTGTTTGAACAAAATGCGACTTATGCTAGTTAGGGGACCTGAGGTCTTGGTTTAATATCACAACCAGCGTTTTTAAGCCTATACCGCCACCTATTGTACAACAATGTGCAGTCTCACGGTATGACCACTGAGTTTTGATATGACATTCTACTAATTTTTAACTGATTCATAATCTGCGGTAAAATATTGCCAGTTGTTGTTTTGTTGGGGTTTTTTTGTGCGTGGTAGTGTATTGAAGAATTGTTACTGTAGAATGTTCATCCAAAAAAATCTCTTACCAGCTGCACTTATCAGCAAAATAAGCTGTCCCTTTAATATATGGACCGAGCCATTTACCACAACGTGACTGATTTACTGGTCCGATTTGATCTGATTTACTGTTGTAGCCCTTTCTAGCCACCACAGACACTTTCAGCTCCAGGCTATATCTGATGCAGACAGTGAGGAGGAGCTGTATCCAGCATCTATAAAGAACCAATAGGTGAAGGAGAAAAACAGGAATGATATATTAAAGTAAAAAAATTTAAAAAGTCTGAGCCTCATTGGCCTGGAGGTCTATTAAAAATACTGGTGTGTGCAGATGAAATGAGTTACAGCCAAATATCTGTAGGAAACAAGACTCCCAACAATGCGGCTGTTCTTTTAACACTCATTTTCTGCAGTCTTTTTTGTTCTCTACGTGGAGCTGTAACCGTAGCATATTGAGATAATGGCTGTCGGGAAACTCTCAGTAGTGCAGTAGAATTTCACCAGCAGCTTCCGAGCTACGCTAGTTTTATAAATTAAATCTATTTTAAAAAAAAAATAAAGCTTTTAGTGGTGCCATGTGTGCTGTTACTGTAGTGGGTGGAAGATGTAATGGTCAGTCATAGATGAAAGACCCCAGAGTGAAATCCATGAGCAGCTCTTCTGTATTTTTGATCTTCAGAGTCAGGCCAGCCTCTATACATATAGTCATCGCAGGTTTATATTCCCTATATACATATATATACATACATACATATATATACATATACATATATATATTTTACATTTTCTAACCTTTGGAACAGTCTGTACTGTTTAAACCAGTGTTTCCCAAACTTTTTTTTTGATGCGAGACAGCCCATAAAAAAATAAAAAACATATCACTTGCGACCCACCTCAGGGTCACGACCCAGTCTTTGGGAAACAATGGTTTAAACAATTAAAGAGTAAAAATATAGCACAAAAAAACAACTAAAATAAAAGACATTAGAAAATAATTATACATACGTATGTGTTGGCTTTAAAAACTACGTTGTTTACCTGGACCAGATGGTGCACTAGCATTCTATTGGCTAGTTGTTCCTCACGCTGATTGGCTCATGCATTGTAGCGTCTCTCAGCCTCTCCCCCTTGTCTGTCCGTCACTCGTTCACGCCGTTATATGGCGTATTGCTGTAAAGTTTGTGGTCTAGTGTTTGGTGAAAGTTGACCCTAATTTAACGCCCTACGATGCCTCCAATTATATATTATTATTATTATTATTATTATTATTATTATTATTATTATTTATTATTATTATTGTTCTGTACAGACCTAGCATTGACTTACTGTAATACTGAAACATCTCATCATTCTTACGTTCCTTACTAATGCACTGCCATCCCAGATGCTGTCTATTGTATGTGACCGTTGTATTTTATTTTAGCACATTGTGAAGTCCATTGTTTTCCCCAAAAACAAACACATAGTAATTACTATTCCTCCGAATATTTTCCATTTCCTCTTTAATGAAAATGCAAAAAAATCACAATATTTCTTCTCAACATCCTGTTACTCCAGGAATGGTCCAAAGAAACCAGACACAAGAGTTAATGTGTTGGTGTGTGTGTTTGTGTGTGTTTGTGTGCTTGTTTTTTTTTTGCATCCATTTATCTTACCTTCCGGTGTGTCTCTAATTGTCCGTGTTATCTCCTTTTGTTTTGTTTTTTTTACCTGTGTGTGACCTTTGACCTTTTGTTGTGCGACAGGGCGAGGATCAGTCACAGCGGCTCGGTGAAGTTGAGCATTTACATGACGGTCTACACCGTCACCTACGTCATCCTTTTCATCTACGAGGCCGAGGTACGCCCGCACACTCGCACACACGTTTTACTTATTTTTATTATTTCTATAAAATTAGACTAGACTAATTTTACTGCTGATGTCCTGAGACGGCATTTTTACTCATTTTAATTATTTATTTTGCATTCAAGTTTTCTTAGCAGGAGCAAAAAAAAAGCATCACTTTGATCCTTTGGAGACGGATCACTCTTGTGCCACTGTATTTTAAAAAGATTACGAGTCTGTCTCTAGACCAGGGGTGTCAAACATAAGGCCTGCGGGCCAAAGCCAGCCCACTAGGGTGATCAATCTGACCCACTTGATGAATTTTAAAAGTAAAAAATGAACACTGTTCATTTGTTCTGTCAAATAAGATGAATTTTAAAAGTAAAAAATGAACAATGTTCATTTGTTCATTTTTACTTTTATTTCATTAAATGTGTAATATTTTCTCATATACTTGTATTTCTTTGCATATAAACAAAGGGGTAAAAACATGGACTTGTAGTTATTTATAGTTAATTATGTTATTATTATACTGGTCCGGCCCACTTGACATCTAATGAGGCTGCATGTGGCCCATTTTGGCTGAACCAAAATTAGATTGACACCCCTGTTCTAGGCCTCAACCGACATCATTGTTATTATAAAACTAAAAACACCAGATCTCAGTGATTACAAAATAAAAAAAAAATAGAAAATTTTTGAAAACTGTTGAAGAAAATTAGACTCCTCAAAAATCTACATAGTCAAATTTCAGGTCTACCTTAAACATGTATATTTTATTCCCCCCCGTCAAATGTATCCAACTCTGGAAACCCTAATCTGGAAACAGTTGATGTCATGAATTCCGCATTCATTTCCTCCTTACCCTTGTTTGTTTACCTTCTCTTCGTATCTCTTGTAGCTGTCTCTTAGGCTTAAAAAAGAATTCTGGGATGTCATCACTTTTAATCTTACTCGTCTCCTCTGTGTACTGTACAGATCAGGCAGTTAGAGGTCTGTGACACTCCCTCTGTTTGTGTCGCTACAATCTCTCCATCGGCAGTGATTAAAACTAGCTCCGGGGCTAGTTTAACAATGTCGTTTTTACTCCACAAACTGCATGATGTCATGCTGGCGCATATAAATTGAGTAATGGTAATGAGACGGCAGCCACAGTGGAGTTGGAATTTACTGTAGGTGCTGTTATATATCTGAAGCAGGAGCCCATAGGCTTTCTTTCACACTGCAGTGTGCGGCTCTGAAGCAGAGTCATTTATCTGTAGACTCTTTCCTATTATAGAAGTCAATGGGGCTTCTGTTAAAAATATGCTAAACTATATTACAATAGGAAGTGAAATGTCAATAAACTATATTACAATAGGAAGTGAAATATCAACATTTGAGTGTGTTTTTTTTTTTTTTTAAAAGCTCCAGTCGGCTGGTTTTTTTTTTTTTTTTTTTTTCAAAGCTCCAGTCGGCTGGTCGAATTCCGAGGAGCTTTGCGCTAAGCTAATTGGTTCAGACTAATGCATTATGCAGTGTGAGAGAAACCCTGTATGACCAACACTATATAGTCACTGGACTGTGAAATGCAATCTTGAGCTGGAAGATATACTGGCAGACACATGTTCTGCACAACCACTAATGACCTACTTGTGAAGTGTCAATGTCAAACGCTCACGCTAGGTGAATGCTAGGTGCTGGATTCTGGCTCAAACATCACACTGCATCAGCTGAAACCCCGAGTGATTTATCAGTGTGATGAACGCACAGACTGAAGTGCAGGCTAACACTCAGGTCACTAGTGTCTACAGCAGAGCGTCCCAAACTTTCACTGGCAATCGCAACCTTGACTGGCTTTAGGAAATGTAATGTGTTCCTGCTAAAATGATGTGCCAAACCTGTTTAATATTATAGCACCTGTACTGACTAAAAAAATGTATTTTTTGTTTTGGTATACGTTTTCTGCTTCAACCTTTACGCGATGATTGAACAGAAGAGTTTTCTGCTTCAACCTTTACGCGATGACTCAACTGCTGCGTCACGGCTAGAGTGACGTAGCAGTGAGATGCTAATAACAGCGGCCATTGCTACTTGTCATGGTAATGTTGCTAACCGACGTTGCCAGTCGTACTTGTTGCCTAGCGTAAAGCAACACTCACTTATGAATGTCTCTACTTCTCTTTCATCTTCTATGTATTTTATTTTTTTCAACCAGCTAAAAGTAGGTAGCGTAGCATTGCTAGCTACTTATCTTCTGAATGTTATAAGACACTCATGCTCCAATCGTTGGTGTCCACAAAAAAGATGAGTGAAATGAAAGATATTTTCTTTGATTTAAAGTAAATTCAAAACTTTATTTGTATTTTTTTTTTATACATTTGTTCAGATGTATTGTTAAGAGTAGCAAAATGTTTCTATTGCTACACTAAGTATACATTAGTAGGACCACTACAAAAAAAACTTGAAAATGACACTGCATATACTGCATAGATTCTTGATGTAAATAAGCTCTTAACTTCTAATCTTTCTGTTCCAGTTTTTCGACCCGGGGGAAGTGCTGTACGCCTACGACAGCCCTGCAGGTTACGGGCTGATGGGCCTCCAGCTGCTGGCCTACGTTTGGTTCTGCTATGCAGTACTCGTCTCAATGAAACACTACCCGGAAAAACAGCCCTTCTACATCCCCTTCTTCACCGCATACACACTATGGTGAGTACTGCACTGACCCACTTCTCTGATCATTCACTCTGAGCTGCTGTGAATCATAGCACCTGGACCTGAGAGCACAGAGAGTATTAAAATATAATTCATCTCGAAACGGTTTAAAATGGTTACATTTATTAAATTGTTCGATAAAAAAATATAATCGCCTTTCAGATAGCAGCCTTAAAGTAGCTTCAACATTTTAGGGACCAATACTATCTCAGTTTCTATTACAGCTACAGCTACTTCCTGAGTTCTGAACACCTGTCCTGCTTTATTTACTGTATCTCTCTGTGCTCTCAACCCATTTTTCCTGAGTTTACGAGAACTCCCTCGGTGCATTGATATTGCTACGATTCAAATGATTTTTTACAGTGTGCCGCTTTTTGTTTCACAAACTCTTTGAAATTGTTGCTGATTTTTTTTTTTTTTTATAAAAATGTGCATGTACATACATGTTTTTATTTTACAAAAATAGATAATAGGGATATTATATTGGTCTGGAATGAGAAAAGAGAGATAGGAATATTTACTATTCCACATTTATGTAACCTCACAAGCATTAGTTTTCACTAATGAAGTGAGGGAGAATGGAGGAATATGGTGATCAAAAAATGTCTCTGATGCTAGGTCTACTCTTTAAATTTTACTGTTATGTTTACTGTTATGTATATATACACATATATGTATATATACACATATATGTACAGTATATGTGTATATATGTGTATATATGTATATATATGTATGTATATGTATATATGTATGTATATATATGTATGTGTATGTATGTATATATGTATATGTATGTATGTATATATGTATATGTATGTATATACAGTATGTGTATATATATATGTATGTATATATATGTATATGTATGTATCTATATATATGTATATATATATATGTATATACAGTATGTGTATATATATATGTATGTATATATATGTATATGTATGTATCTATATATATGTATATATATATATGTATATACAGTATGTGTATATATGTATATATACACATATATGTACAGTATATGTGTATATATGTGTATATATGTATATATATGTATGTATATGTATATATGTATGTATATATATGTATATATACGTATATATGAAAATCAGTTTTTTATATTGACACTATAAATTTCCCCTCTTTTTTGTCAGGTTTTTTGCTGTTCCCATCATGGCCCTCATCGCCAACTACGGAATTCCTCGCTGGGCTCGGGAGAAAATCGTAAATGGCATTCAGCTTGGCATCTACCTCTACGCTCACATTGTTTTCCTTGTTAGTATGACACAGAAACACACCTGTACATATGTACACATATCATTCCAAAGTCATAACTGCACCCTGATGTACACCATAAAATTCACTCTTCATTAATATTCACTGATGGAAATACACGTGTTTTCGTAAATGCATAATTTAATTGAATCATAATCATACAATCATCAGTTCTTTTATTTTTTTCTGTTTTCAGATTATCACACGTCCCTCAGCAGCCAATAAGAACTTCCCATATCACGTTCGGACGTCTCAGATCGGCATCCTGCTGTCCAGTCCTAAATGCGGTGAAGGGGCGGAGAGTTTCCCTCATCACGCGTACGGGAACAGCTCTTTTGTGGGCGATTCACAACCAAACTTTACTGAACTCTTCTCCATCCAATCAGTAAGTTCAACCCTCATGTTGATTGTTGTACTAACACACACCTCTGTTCTTTGGTGTCTTTGAAATGAGTCAGGACAAAGTCAGGTTTTTACATGTTTTATTCCATTATCAATCATTTTTAAAGGCCATTGAATCTTTGCAGCAGCAGGGAAAATAGGTCAGAAAATGATTTTTGAACACGGATCATTTCATGTTATCTATACATGACATGATACATATACATTGGGGCTCCCGGAAATACGTGTTTTCCAAGTTACGAGTAATCAACTCGTGGGAACTTTAGATAGAGGGGGGAATTTAATTTACTTAAGTAATAGTATATTTCTGGGGGGCTGGCCAAATTAATGGGTTTTTAGTTATTTTTAATGGGAGCTATACATACATAAATATATACATGTATATATGTATGTATGTATATATGTATGTGTATGTATGTATATATGT